TCAAATTCTTGGTGGAGAGAAGCCAAAACGCAAAGAAGGTGGGTTGTAAACTTCACTTTTGTTTCGCTCTTCAGTCTAGCAAAGGAAGTATCCCTATTGGGATGGAATTATAACTCCGTATAAGATTGCCCAACTTTGGATAGCTCAGCAGGAAATTCAGTGGGAAATTCAGAGGATGAAAACAGACTAACATAACCGACTTTGTCCTTCCTGGTCAAAGGCTTTGTCTTATCAAATCTATGCTCTTACACAATTTGAAACAGAGATGATACTTTACGTCCAAACTCAGCTTGATGGAAAAGCATCCAAAAACTATAAAAGAATACAGGTCTCCTGTAAATGTTTACGTCACACACCCGTACGAAAATCAAGTTAGCTGCAATGGCTTTTGATGAATTTTTCAGACATTCAGCGACAATAATATAGGGTATACGGAGTGTCACTCCAAGAGAATAACTTCAGTTATGGTTTTCGTCTTGGTTAAAAACAAAAGAGAATAGAATTTTACTTATTCCATTTCTCTAAAGCAAGTAATATTTAACCCTTAACTCATGGCATTCTATGGAGTTGCAGTCGATTTAAGATTTTGTCCCCATCCAGCTCCACATTCTTGCATAAGACAAACGCTAATTAAGCAGCCAATAGGGTACATTAACAATATAGAGTAAATCTAGTATTCGAAACATTCAAAACACCCACTATAATCCTTCTTGGTGAGAAAACCTAGTTCAATTCAAAGCCTCCAGCAATTAATATAGAGTCGTTGCAGGTAAGCGTCAGGGTTTGTTTCAAGGTCAGCTGCCGCTTTTCCATGTTCCTGGATTGGATATCCTTCTGCCTCTGATTATTAGAAGTGTACCCGTTAGTGAAGGAATATTGAAAGAGAATTAAAGTAGTCAGCTTTAGTACTGTAAATATGAGTTTAAATTTGACTGGGTGAATTCGTAGGCATGAGAAGGCAGGATATGTAAATAAAAGAGTGAGAGTTCAACTGCTCTTAGTATGTTATAATAGTATTGATAATATGCTGCGATGGACAAGTAATATGTACTGATTATGGACTATACGTGTCTATTCCCTTTTTCCCATTTGAACGCAGGCTCTGCTCTGTCCTTTTCCCTTCTAAGGCTATAAGTCAAAAATTCAATTTCTTCTCAGTCAATTCTATAGCATAAAGATTTAGTTGGGATTTATAGTTAGCAGCATTAAGCAAATATCTCCGCTATGTGCACATTTTAGGGCGTGCCCAAAATATGGAAGAGATTCTGCAGCACCCAACGATACAGCAATGGATCAACAAAAGCGATGTAGTGCCTTTAGTGATAGCAGGCGATTTCAATTCACCTTCTCACATCGATTGGATCAATGAAACCAAGTATGTTTCCAATAGTCTAATTCTTGGTTCTTAGTACTGAACATGGTATTTGAGAGATGACCACGGAGGTTGGACTGTGGAGTGGCCGGCAACAAAAATTGCGGAAGACATGGGTTTGATTGACTCCTTTCGCACTTTGCATCCCAATGTTACCGAAATGCCAGGTTGCAGATATAAAATAAGTAGAAATTAACATAATTATAGTACTGTTCTAGGGCATACTTGGTCAACTGTAAATAAATTCATGTCTGATTGGGAATTCCAAATACCAGAGCCACAGGATCGAATAGATTTTATACTTTTTAAAGGTAGTGATTTTTTTCTCAACAAAAAGCATACTTAAAGTTCGTATTTAGGCAGCATCTTTCCTATGGAGTCATTTCTTTACTCCGGAGCTGATACAATGAAACCAATGCCGAATCATGTGCAAAATGATTACCCTTCAGACCACTACGCTCTTATAACTGATTTTGAATTTACTTATGCAGAGACATGTGCGCCATGTTCGTGACTTTGTTAGTGCCAAACTGAATGTGGCGATTTGAATTGAATGCCAATTGTATTTTTATATTTCGCTCCTAACTGCAAAAACATTGGAAGTGAAGCTAAATTGATGAAAGCCTTATGACCAATTAAAAGACACTTCTTTTATCGTGCAAAGCTTAGACTCTTAGAGTTAATATGAGTGAATCCGTGAAACATGTTTTGCAAACATTAGCTTCAGCGCTATTCATGCCTTATAGGGTGCGCAACAGATTGCATTTTAGTCTTAATGATTTAAAGCGTTTGTCAATTCAGACACTTTTTCGCCACCTCTGCGTTCTTCAATTTTCCCATCTCTTTATCTGTCTAGCAGCTGCTTATTGCTTCCTTTTCACATGACTTCTCCATTCTCAAGGTGCGCCGTCAGCATGGAAGATATTCACTTCGAAGAATCGTTCATAGTTTCCTGGAGCATGTTGAAGAACCTCCTTTTGGCATTTACACAATTTGCTGGAACTTTGCTTGAAATGGTACCAATGCGCTACTTGCGGCGTTCAGCTTATACCTTTTTGGAATGACTTTACGCTCTCATTCACAGACATTCGTCATTGACTACACTAGTGATACAAACGCATGACGTCTGGAATGTAAACGGTTTGATAAGTCTTTGCGACAATTCCTGTGACTTGATTGTTAGTGGCAGTAGTGATTTTATTGGAATAAAAGGATGATTTATTACTAACAAAATCAGATCTCTTCTTCGTGGACATTCTCTGGTCACAGGATATTGCCTAGGTTTCATTGGAAGCGCTGGTTACCACTTCGCGGGTCATTACGTCGCTGCAGTAAATACTGAGGTTTAAGAGATGATTAGATTGTGCACAAGAAATATGTATTATTCAAATGTTCGTTAATATTCTTATAATAATTTTTATAATTTATAATACAATAATTTTTATACTTTGTTTAGCTGCGATGCTTTTTCCAATGGTTAATGTTTCACTGCACCAGCTCAAGCATATCTATAGCTCAAAATTTCTATATAAAAACTGTTTCTTGGGTATTACCAGCATGAAGTGAGTGACAGCTGCAAACAAACAAAACCGCAATCACTCTTCTGGCGCGAATCTGCTAGCGGAATCGAAATTCGTGATGAATTTCACCAAGACTTCTATACTTCCGTGCAGCATGTCAAAGCTGCTAAGGGCCTATAGCACAAAGGGAGTAATTATCCGGGGAAAATGTGCAGGTTCTGTGCTGCTGGTATATTCGATTTTTGGGTCAGCAATTGAATCAACTACTCGTACTTCCTCAACCTGGGCTACCAAAAAGAAAGTTTTGATTCTCTAAAAATTTTCTAACAAATTAAAGAACACTCGTTGGTGGATTGTAGTATTTTCAATTTGTTAAAGGTAATAAGAGTTCTCGAAAATACACTTATAAGCTCGTAACAAACCATTTTTGGATGAAAAGGAGCTTGAAACGAAAATATAAGGAACTACAAATCGATGGTCAAGGTG